ATCTTGAAGTACTATAGTTTAAAATAGTTATGTGGGAAACCACTGAAAATGGGTCTCAGCCTCTGAGAGATTTCAACCTGTTGAATCAGTACATTTTCCCCTGATATTTGATGTTTATACTTCACTGGTAAAGAAACACACAAAGAAACCAAGAAAAGCAAGTTTTCCAGCATTTTATATTAATGGCCAGAATCATGGGTGATAATAGTATGTAGCTCTAATATTCCGAGGAGCTCATGATATTTGACAGTTATAGTTGCTTACTGACCCTTAAGATAACTGAGAAGTATGAAATAATGGCAAAACTTCCAGACAAAACTTGGGCCATCTAAGTGGAAAGCTATTCACAAATAATAAATCTGTAGATAGGTGGGACTTAAAAACCTGAGCTTCCCTGGAAAATATTGCTCTTTGTATATGATAACTTTTAAATTTCATGAAGTCCAAATGTACAGCATGTACTCTTAGTTTCCTTTCTTCTTCTTCTTCTTCTCTTGTTGTTTCTGTTGTTTTAACTGATTACCAGTTGACCTAGTTTGTCTGAAAAAGAGTTGTCCTTTGACAGCTGCCGTGAGGTGGCTTGCTTATGAAGTCTGACATCCTGGAAGCGGAGGTTTCAAATCTGGCTGGGACTTCTGGAAGTCTTTTTCTCTCTAGCAGCAACTGTCATTCCCGTGATCAAAGTCCTCCAATGGTGTCCCATCTAATGTGAAAATCATAATTCTTAAAATTGCTGACAAGGGCCTATGAGATGTGCCCCTCCCCCCATCTTACCTCCTGCTGCTCCCCATCACCAGCTCACACTGGATCTTTGCAGTTCCTGGAACACACTAAACGCTCCCCTCTCCAGGGATTTTGCACTTGTTCCTCCCTCTGCCTAGAAAATTCCTCCTTCAAATATCCACTCTGGCTTACTCCCTCAATTTCCTCAGAATTCTCCACTCAAATGTTACCTTTTGACCACTATATACGGAATAGGGACACGTCCCCATACATCACACTTCCTTTTCTCCTTATCCTGCATAATTTTTTGCCTTAGCACTTATCACCATCTGATAACCTACGTATTTATTTGCCTATTGTCTGTTTCTTCCCCCTAGAATATTAGCTACACAAGGGAAGGGGATTGGTTTTGTTAGATGCTATATCTCCAGTGCCTAGAACAGTGCATGGCTGGTAGTAGCACACACGCTAATTAAGTAAGAAAAGTCCTGGGTAAGTAAATGTTTGTTGAATAAGTTAAAGAATTGTTAGGTTTGATGCCTTTGGTCTGATGCAACTTGTTGTGATGGTAAAATAAGTTGTGGACTTTGGCCAATTAAGAGGAGGTCTCTGTGTGGATGCACACACACCTCCAACAAGGGTTTTAGTAATAAATTCTAAACAAATTAGTGTGTGTGTGTGTGTGTGTGTGACATACACATATACAACAGATTATGTTGTTGTTATAACTTTCTACACTATTATACTGATTTTCTTCATAGCCTGATAACTTTCTAAAATTATCTTATTCAATTGGTTACATGTTGACTGTCTGTGCTGCCTAGATTATACACCCCATTCGGGGAGGGACTCTGCCTTGTATACTCTTTATATTGATTTATAAGAAAGTGAATAGAGGCAAATGGAGAATAGTACAGCCAACCAATAGGCCAAGTGCCTGTGACCACCTGGCCTTGGGAGTGTTTGTAGATGATCCAGTGAGTTGAGACAGGGTGGTCTGTAAACTTGCTGGTAAGGATAGGTGTCTGATCAGTTGGATTTAGACACTCTGGCAGGAAGTTTTCAAGGCTTTCATACTTCCTAGTGATGGCAGATGCTCAAATCTATCAAATTGACATGCTAGATTAGGACTAGAAGAACCATGTGAGGTGACATGAAGATATGAAGAGCTCAGCTGTGTATGCAATACTTACCTTACCGCATACCTTAGACATTTATCAGCCATTCTTAATTAAGTAAGAAATGTCCTGGAGGCATAACAAATGGAAATGAAAATTGGATTCATGGGTAAATACTTTCATGAATCTGAGATGAACAGGTTTAAACAAACCCGAGATAGTCTAATTTATCCAGATGCTTTTATCGAGTATAAATAGGACATCACAGGAGATAGGGCCAGCAGTTCTATAAGATGCAGAACTTGCATTTCTGTTCTACACCACACCATAATGATCTTAGTCATTCGTGATAGAAATCGGCGATTCCATTTTTCTGACAGCGTTTGTTTGCTGTTCCCAGGAACTACCATCTCTTTTTTCTCAAGGGGGCATTTAGAGCTTGAAGCTGTTTCCCTTGGCTTGTTTATTTGGTACTGTTCATTTGTACCCAGGGTGGCTGCAGTATCACGTGCCAATTTGGCAGCGGGATGAAGGTTCCCTCTCACATTCTCCTAAGAAGACGCGTTAGCTCTCCAGTGCCTTCTAAATGGTGACTGTGGTGAGAGGGGCCAAGAACTTTATTCCAGTCAGTCCTAGTTTCTGTGGCTGCGGAAGTCTCCTGAAAGAGTGACAGAAAATAAGGGCAGATTGTTCTCAATTTCTTAATTCATTGATGTAAAATGTTAAAAAAAAAAATCCACCCTCTGAATCCACTCTTAAGTTGACTATCCTCACTGTCTCTCTCCCTCCCTGCCTCTCTCTCTCTCTCTTCCGTGCCTCTCTCTCTCTCTCTCTCTCCTTCCATTGGAATTATAGCAAACACCACTGGCTGTGCCCCAACTACTATCTATTTGTACAGTCCTCCTTTCTATTAGAACTCTGATTTTTGCTCACCCCTCTTAATAGTTGTAGATTTCAGAGGAGATTGGCTCTATCAACAGTGTTTATTATGATTCATTTAAGCCAGTGACTGATTTAGGGATGGGCATTTTACTCAGTCCTGGAAAATTAAATGTAAGAGGAAGTCTGCTGTGTGCACTTATGAGGAAGATTTCCTTATAATGAAGAAACAAACGAAAATAAGAAGAAATAGCCTTTCCACATTTTCTGTTTCCAAATGGCAAGCATGAAGAGACAAGACATGCAGTTGCTTTTGTTGCCTCGAGACCATGAGGGAGCCCGATTGAAGGACGAAGGAGAAAATTGCTCTGCTGAATGCTGGAGAAAAATCTTAGTACTCAATTATGCTAATTATTTGATCAATCTGGGAAACTCCCCACTTCTAGAGTTCTTGTTATGTGAGAAAAAATAGTCCTAATGTTGTTTAACTCATTTTGAGTTGAGTTTTCTTGCACTGGCAGCCAACAGCATCCTAACTAAGTCATTTCATTTCTAGTTGTTTGTACAGCATGTCTTTATAATTTCCCTCTCTTCATTGGTTTGGGAACTTTTGAATAACAGTAAGACTTTCTAGTAATTAATAAGCCAAGATATCAACTATGATGAGTCTCTATTTCCAACAGAAGACAAATTATTGATTCAATTTTTGAATGCTAGCAAATTAAGTGATATTTGCATTTTATTTTAAAAACACAAAATGCCATTGCATATGCTCATATCTTAGCAAGCTCTTAAAATCCTGCTATGTGAGGGAATCCAAGGACAAGAAGATATTTACTAATTCCAAATGTACTGACAGGAAAAATTTCTGTCAAAGTGCATGATTATATACATAGATATGTCAATCTTAAGGAGCTAAAAAGGACTTTTAAAAAATCACAACATCAATAATGATAATTGTTCCAAATATTCTATTTTCTTTATGTTCTCCTTTGTATTTCTACTAATGACACTATAAGTCTCAGTCATCCAGGCATAAAATCTCCAATTTATTTTTGGTTCCTGCCACTCCCTTGCTCCGGAAACAATCTGTTGCCAAGCCCCTGATGATACCATCTTAGAAATATCTCTTCCATTGCTTCCATTTCTTCTACCTTTGCTGCCTCTAACCTAGTTCAAATCTTTATCAAAAACCTTCTGTACGGCTCTACAGAGAGCTTCCACTTTCTCCCCTTTCATCTTTCTAAAGCAGAGACCTGTCACATTCACTCTCTCCTCAGTTAGTCCATATTGCCCAAGGATAAAGCTGGAGCTCTGCACACTGGCATTCAGGGTCCCAAGAGCTGGCTCCAGTGGGCCTCCCAGATTTCTCATCACTGCAGCCTCACATTCTCTGTGGCAGCCCAAGAGAGCGTCCTTGATTGCTCTTTATCGCCTGGACCCCTTATCTTACATTGAGTCTCACCTTCATCTGTTCACATATTATCTACTTTTTACAATGATCTGAAATTGTCTTTTTCTTCACAAAGTTCTGATTTCTCCCAGTCAAAAGTGTGCTATTGCTCCATTGAATTTCACTAGGATTTTATCTATCAGTGCATGTAGCACTTTTTAGCCATCTATTATTGCTAGTTACTGTATATCATATGGACTTTCTAAAAAGGTGAAGTTCTTCAGGACAGAAACCAGTCTTGTTCATTTTGTGTTCTTCTTGAAGCCTAATATTTTCTTGACTGCTAGAAACACCCAGTGAATAAAGTTGAATTACTAAAGAGCAACAGGGTTTCTACTGAATCCTGTTTTTGGTGTGTCCAAACCTTATCATCTGATTAATTAAAATGTAATACATTTTTGAAAAAAGGGGAAATTATTTGGCTCAGCTGGTCAGTAATTGACTACATGAGGAGATCTTTAAGGGGTGATGAATTCAGAATCACATTAACTACAAAATAGGATAGGTACCTTTGTTTTCTATCTCAGAGATATTCCTAATCTGAGAGTTTGAATACAGCAGGTCCTTGAATAACATCATTTTGTTCAAAATCATTTTGTTATAATGTTGATGAGATGCCATAGGAACACAACCGTTGTATATATCAATTAGTTGACAGTAAAATTGGTTTTGTTATGTGTCATTCTGCTTAAAGTCACACCTATTGATGATGTTTATTATAACATACGTACTTCAGGACTATTCTCTAAATTTACAAATGCTTTTTGGTCTTTCATCTGAAGATTATTATTTGAACTTTACAAAAGAACAATTGTTTTACTTTACAGAAAAACTCCACTTTTCAAGGAGTAAAGAGATCATATGCATCAATACCAAGATGCGGGACACTTTTATACAAGCAAATGCTTATTTCTTCCCTGGGCAGACTTCTCTACTTATCAAGGTTAGTGCACGGCATACACTTGCAAATATCATGATGAGATGCACAATTACCTAGTTCCAGTTTGCAGTTAACACAAGAGGATAGATATCTGGTTAAACCTCAGAAATCTAATAAGTTTGTTTGTAGAAAAACAATGTAACACATGCCTATGCATGGGGAAATTCTAAGAAATATCTAGGATTACTCTCCACATTTTCTCACCTTTAATTTTTTTTCCAGCTATTTAGCTTAAATTTAGCCCATAGTATAAAATAGAAGTAGACTCAGAGGCTACTGGATTAGTAAAACTGTATAGTAAATACACCCTATTCATTTCCATGAACTTATTACTTATTAGATAAGACGATAATGTAAAATTATACTACAGTAGGATTTGTTCTGATTCAGTTAGAATAAAGACAGATTACAAAGCAAGCACTTGATAATTGGTAAAATTAAATTCCTGAGTATTTAGCAATAACAATTAAGATTTTATTTGCACCATATTCTCACAAAAGTAAAAACATAACTATTCCCACTTTCGGTCCATATCTGGATCTAACAGTTCCTCTATAAGGTGGTGATAAAGAGGTCAAGTTGAGCTCAGACACACAGCAAATAAGTAGAGAGAAGTGCTTTATAAAACGAGTTCAAAAGGGTTTCTACCATATAGTTAAATAATAATTAGGGTCCAACCTCTCGTGACTCTGCAAATCCTAGAAAAGAGGATTTACAGTGAGGTTGGACAGGTCTGATGTTACATAAGAAAGCAGCAGCTGAGCCACATGCCAGATGTCAGATCAGTGGAGAGCTCGGGGGTTGAAGACCCTTCTCAGATTCGGGTAGCAGTGAATATGGAGCTAGGCTGTTCAGGGGAGTGTGACAGAGTGGCTACAAATGGACTCTAGTAAAAATGTTTGAAATGTGGCTATGAATTCCACCCTCACCACTGCCTCTAGAATGTAATTAGGATGGGGTGGTAATATTAGAACCAAGTCAAAGAACTGGCTGGTTTGGTTGAGTGCATTTCTGTCCACACAGGGTGTCATGGAGGACGTAAGAGGGGATAGGCAGACTTTCATGGTTGCAATTATTAGTCCCACTATTGTAAAACTGCATCACACGTGCGTCATATAGTGACGGTTCTGCCATTATCAGATGCATCCTCTTGATTTTCCATAGTTATTCTTTTGAGAATCATCAGTATGGCTCTTAACCGTGTTAGCACTTCCTCCTCCTCCTTGCCTGTCTCTGGTTGCTCTTGGAAAGCTGGGCTGTGTGTATGTGTGAGTGTGTGCACATGCACATGTGAGCACATAAGCAGGTGTGATGCAGGACGGAGGGTACATAGGTGCATAAGCAGTTTATCACGTAGAGAAGCAGTTCTGGGCCAATAGCTTGAGGCCTCTAAGACGAGTTTTCTCCGTGTCTTGGAGAACAAGACTGAAAATGATGACAGTGTTCTGATGGTGGTGACAATGGTGGTGTGCGGGTCCGTGGAAGTTAGGCTCAGGAAGGGGAGCCTGAGAATGAGATAGTGGGGTCCAGGGATCAGAACAATCAAGAGGAGTCAGGCTAGTGGAGATAAATTAGGCCCAATCAGTTGTGAAGTTTGGAAAGAGAGGTGGAATTAAGGAAGTATGCAGACTTATCTTTCAAAGGCCCTGGTAGTACATGATTATGAAAGCTAGCCCACAGAATTAAAAGCAATTAATGCTGGGACAGTTTTATGTGTCTTAGTGGATGCATATGGTGACTAAGAATGGCTGGAGGGGACAAGAGATAATTAGAGCAGAAATAATGAGAACCAGTAATAGCCAATATCTCCTGGGGTGTATTCAGTAGTTGCCTATGTAAATCTGAGCACCAGCCTACCTATGAAGCATCTGGCTAGCTTCAAGATAGGAGGAAATCAAAGGTGTTCATTACACACTGGGGGCTGATAACTGGTCCAGCTTGCCCCATAACAAGACCAAGATGGAGGGGCAAAAAGTCAAGGCAATACTGGATTTGATTTCCGTGATGAGGTAGGGGAGGAAATGGTGCTCCTTGAGAAAATGAAGCCCCAGCAAGCTGTAGAGATCCTTCATTCCCCCCATGAATGGTGTGAATATGGCCTGTCACAAATACAGGCATTGTTTGTGTAAAGAGAAATGCATGTGGGCAATAGCAGAACATGCAGTCCCAGGGTTCTGGAATCAGTACCTGTTTAAGTTGGTATATCGAGCCAGTTATAGGCAATCCCTTCTCAATCTTGAAGTAATTCCCTTAATGAGTCACATTTTTCTGTTCCTACTATGAGATCCATGTGTAGTGCTGTCTTATTGGTGTCCTGAAAGCAAATCAGGGAAGAAAAACACCTTGTCATTTAGGAAAGGAAAATTTAAACTCATCAGCTCTTTGTGGATTAATTTTCCAATGCAGCTAGTCTGCCTTGGTGAAGATTTAAGGAGAGAAGATTGCTCCAGGAACCGGATTCTGCATTTCTATTTTTCACTAGAATTGTATTTTGTTTTGTTTTGTTTTTGAGGAGAAAGAAACCTAGAACAAAGCCAAGGCAATCTGGACAGTTGACATATTAGCTTCTAAACAGGACACATTGACTGTCCCTGCCAATATCTGCAATTGCAGAAAGATGTGGTTTGATTCTGCTCGATCTTCCAGTGACTGTAAAGTGCTTGCAGAGAGCTTGACACATAATGACATGGAAGTAATTTCACTGTCACAATTCCTTTCTTTTGAAGTCACTGTACGTCTCTAATTATAAAAAATTGTCCTACCATGACACAACTGGAGTGTATAAAAGACTTTTAAACAGCCCTGTCAAATACTAGGTTATAGAGCAAAAGAAATGGGAAGAAATTTAAGTTACATTCTATTATTTAAAAAAAAAATTTATTAGATGCATTGGGTGACATTGGATTAGTAAAGTTATATATGTTTCAAGTGTACAATTCTATAATACATCATTTATATATTGCATGTGTGTTCACCACCCAGGGTCAGTTCTCCTTCCATCACCATATAATTGACCCTTTTCTTGAAACAAGAAATCCACCCTGAAAAACCATCCTGGGAATGGGGGATGGTTTTAGGTTCAAAGAGATTCTTCAGAATGGACTTTTTACCCTTCACTGGGCCCTACAAAGACATTTAATCCAATTCCAATAAATCCTAATTAGCTAGAGGACATATTTGTTTTCATTTAATTAACATTTACTAGAGGCCAGTAATCTTGACGGTTCCTTGGGAAGCACTGTGGTGATATGAATATAATTCCTGTCTGTATAGTGTTCACAATCTAGTAGCTGAAGAATCTATTTAGTCTTGGGAAACTTGCTTAACTTTTTTATTCTTTAGAACATTGGGTCATTTATTAGGTTAAACTGCCTTTAAGACATGGAGGAAGAAGGGCGTGTATTACTAGACAGGAATCCAAAGAAAACACTTAAGGGTTTACCTTGCTTTATCTAAATACTCTTTGATTAAAAAAAAAAGACAAGAAATATTACACCCCATTGTTAATAAATGACTATAAACAATTTTGTAAGACTGTGAAATGCAGCATATGCAGAGAAAAGAGAGTAAAATTTAGGGAGTGCAGAATCAAATTGGTCATCAGATTTAGAGTATGGTGTGCAGATCTTGTGCTTAGTCCTGAGTTTTGAGTGAAAAATATAGAACAGCACTGTTTCTGATGTGGTAACTATGAAGAACGTTTTTGAATGGATGGAGATCAAGTATCCTAATTAATGTATCATGCTCAAAATAAAAATGTATTTGAAAGATGCCTTAATATTGCTACTTAACTGAAAGTCTGTCCTCCACTAGCACTGGGAATAATTTCTTAGACATTATTTAATAACTTGATTTAATAACAGGACACTGCTGATTATCTTAGACCAAAATACTCTAGACATTGAGGTTCATATAATTGAGGAGAGAACAAGGATTCAAACTGGAGGGATTCCTTAACTAGAAATTAGGTAATGAGTATATATATATATATATATATATATATTTTGTAATTTTAATGACTGATTCACCTTGGCTAACACATACACTATTTCTTATATTTTAAAAAATTCATTGATCTCTGAGCATGCCTGCTTCTGGGTAACAGTGTGAAGTAGAAGTGATTTTATAGTTTTCTCATGCGTCCCTTAGGCAACTCCTCTTATGCTTCCAAGAGGTCAGCAGGCATGATGCTTTCTGGCTGCTCAGGACCTCCACCCAGGCCTGCCCTCTGGGAAATCTCCCTGGAGTCAACATCACTCTCTTCCTCCTCTCAACAGTCCTATCCAGCCCCCCCCCCCCCCCCCGACCCCATGCTGAGATTTCAGCTGGTTGTTAGGTAGAGTCATAGGATTAAACCAATCCATACTATGAATTAATAATGCCTGACGGAGGCTAATTGTGATTACAGTGTAGGACATTTGCATAAGAAGAGAAAAATGTTACTCTGAAGAAATGAATCTTTCATGGTGTCCTTGGCAGTGGTTTTGAATGAGGGCCTTTCAAAACTCCTCAGGTGACCCTGCTGAGGAATCTGCCTCTTGTACCTCCCCTTGAGCTGGGTAGAGGCTCTTTTCCCTCAAAACTGTGGCCAATTGTCTTAGTTTCAATGTTTGAAATGGTAAATGACACTACATTTTTACTACAGCTTTAATGCTTTCATAACGTAACACGAGAATTGATAGATATCTCATTATGGCCTAGGCGCTGGGCATTTAATTCTAAGTCCTGTCTTATCAAGGGAAAAGAATTCAAGCTTAACAAAATCATCAGTATCCCAGAGGCTGATGGAGCTTTTGTTCTTGATTTTGTCTACCATTCTATGCCCTTAGTTTTGGAACTTCTGGAGGGGTGGTGAGCACTAGGCATTTTAGGATACTTGAAGGAGTGTTTTCTCTTTCCTTGAAACCACACCTTTGTTCTATGTTCCACATCTTTTGACTGCAAGAGTAGTTTAGGGTGTGAGTTGAATGTCACAGATCCTCTTGCTGCCTCAGATCCCCTAGTTCTCAATATTTCAAATATGTGGCTGTCCTTCCTTTGTGTTTCATAAACCATGTGTCTTCATTGTATAAGTCCCTCTAAAGCGACAGGAAATCAGGCATCAAGAAACTGATCAATTTGAACCTATGTTTGTGGAAAACACACTTATTATAATTGGTTCCAAACAAGCTTCAGTTATCTAAGTAGAATATACTGATTTAAAAAAAAATGTGTTCTGGGGCAGGAGGTGGGTAGATGTGCTTATAAAGGAGCAACAAGGAACCTTGTGACGATGGAACTATTCTGTATCTTGACCCATGGTGGTGGCTACACAAGCTTACATGTGATAAAATTGTATAGAACAAAATGCACATACACAAAGGAATACATGTAAAAACTGGGGCGATCTGATTAAGACTGGGCAATTGTATCAGTGTTGATATGCTGTTTGTGATAGTGGACTATAGTTTTGCAAGATGTTGCCATTGAGGAAACCGGGTAAAGGGTACAGGGTCTCTCTCTGTCCTATTTCTTACAACTTCATGTGAATCCCTAGTTATCTTGAAATAAAAAGTCTAGTTAGAAATGTGTTTTGTATTCTAGGCTCCGAGTATTTAGAAAGATAGAATTCATACATGCAACCCATGAGTAAACACACATGTTCACAAATAAGTATTTCCGGTTCAGCCCACCATATACATTTTCAGTCCTAATTGGAATGAGGCAATTTTAGGTTTGGGTAATGGGCCAAGTCTAAATTTGGTGTTAGAAAGCATAGCCATCCTCTTGAGATCTCAGACAACAGGATAATCATGACTATGTTATAATTTTTCTATGCTGGAGACTGGAAATGTTTAATGAAGAAGGAAAATAGTCTGGAAGTTGATAACTCTATATTTGTATTGATTTTTATATTGAGGTGTTTACAAAAAAATCTCATAAGGAAAATGCTTAAAAAGGCAATTTAAATCCAGGCGTAAGGATTTAGAGGAAACACATTGCATGTTTTACGTGTTCTTGCTCCATTTTCTACTACACAGCCTGTTTCAGTCCATTCAGGCTGCTATGAAAAAAAATACTACAGACTGAGTGATTTAAACAATAGAGGTTTATTTCTAGTTATTCTGGAGGCTGGGAAGTCCAAGATCAAGGTTTTGGAAGGTATGGTGTCTGGTGAGACCTGGCTTCCTGATTCATAGTCAGCTGTGTTCTTGCTGTGTCCTCACATAGTAAAAGGGGCCAGGGAGCTCTGTAGGGTCTTTTTTAAAAGGGCACTAATCTCATTCATGAGGGTTTTGCCTTCATGACCTAATTATTAAAGGCCCCACCTCCAAATATTACCACACTTGGGGATTAGGATTTCAAGCTATGAGTTTGGGGTGGACAAAAACATTCAGTCTATTCTTAACAATGCCTTATTCTTGTGAAAGAGCAGAAAGTCTTCCCTTTTTAGCTACAGACAAAAACATTTATAGATCATCTAGCTGTTCTGCTTTTATAATCATACTGTAAATCTTCCATTGATTCAAAATGAATAAAATGTTTGATTAATAAAGCAGTCTGGTTATGGAGAGTTAGTGAACTTGTACAAAGCATGGTAATTACCAATTTCAAAAGATTCACAGGAAGTAAAATATAATTTAACTCAATCACTTCCATCATTATGGAATGAGAAGGTAATATAAAATAGTTAACATGAGACAAGAATAATATATATTTTTAAATTTGGGGTTAAATTTTTTTTTCAGGATTTGGCAGTGTCAGAAACATCGTTAATGTGTCTCAATAATTAACTGTGATGATAAAAACTAGAAAAGTTATGTTCTGTGCATGAAAAAGTTTAATGATCACAGATTCCCCATATAAGCTATCAGTTATTTTCCCTACAAATAGAGTATTTTAAATTTTCTGCAATTTCTGAGGTCTTAACACTTTCAAATTTCTTCTTCTTTAGATGAAGACATTTCTACAAACACGATGCTAGGTCATAATTTTTGTAATGTTTCAGTTTTAAAATAATTTCAGACATAGCCAGCATTCAAATTTACCTCTTTTATGATAAACTGATAAAGTGTCTGCTACATGGTAGATGAATTTTCTCCTAGAACATATTCTGTAATCAAGCATTTTACTTCATGCGTAGTAACTTGGTCCCCTGGCCGAACAGCTGTGGTAACGCTGGCAGGAAAGAGAGCAGGAAGCATCCCTGACAATGAGGGCAAGCTGCACAGCTGGCACAGAAGTTTATCTTTCTTCAGAAGCACTTGTCATTTGTTCCCCATTTCATGTAAAAACAGTGACGGCTAGGATTAGGAAGCTTCTTAAGGCTTTGAGACAACTTTGTTCACCCCACCAAATGCCTAAATGGAAGAAGTGTGCAGTACCTGCAAACATAATAATCAATCAGACTTAAAACCAAAGGCACTGATCGCTTTACAGGTCTCCAATATGCATCAGCTTTATACGAATCATGAAAAATGTCAGGAAATAATTGATGCTGTACAGTGTGTACACTGAACAACAAAAAGTCTCCCATTTTGTTAGACTTCTATGCGTCAGTGATTTTTTTACATATTCACTGGGATTCCTATTCCGTAATAAACTCTAAAACAAGTCAGTTTCAAGAAAACCCACTCCACTGGTAGTGAGAAATTTTTTTGAAAAATTCATATTGCTATATTCCTCTTCATTCATATTTTTTTACCTTATTTAATATTTATTAGTTCTTTGGTATCTTAGGAAAATTGTTAGTTTATCCTTGGAGTCTTCATTTTACCTAATAGTGTAAATGCAATTGGTGCCAGCTCTAATTCAATTGCTATTTCAAAATACCTTAATATGCCACTTAATACATATGTATATATTTCTTTCAGTATGTCAATTCTAATGGTCCTTCAAAACCATAATCTACTGAGGCAATTAATCTGCTAGTTTGTTTTTTTGTTATGGCTTGTTGAACAAAATAAACCATCCCTTATTTAATGGCTGTGGCCTTAGGGCATCTCAGGGGCTGGAGGGGGCGGGGAGCACCTGACTCACCTGTCTTCTTTCATTTGGCAGAAACCATTCACGCAAAAGGGTGTGTGCCCCTCGGCATATAATTAATGTAGTATCAGGGGAACCCAAAATTGTTGTCAACCTCCTTTATACAAATACAGTTATAATTTTAGTTTTGTGTTGACAGCAAAAAGACAATTTTATTGTGGCAGGACTAACTCACGTTTTCAGCACCAGATGGATCAAGGACCAATGTGGTACCACTTTTAAGATTTTTGCAATGGAATCAGCAACGGAATATGCTACTGCATGAGGTAGGGAGTGCCCCATCTGTCAGATTTTCAAGCAGAGCCAAACTACTACGTGTTAGGCCTGCTAGAAAAGACAGGTAAACCAGATAGCCTCCTATTTATTTTGTAATTCTGACTATATGCTTTAAAAATCATTGATTAACATTAAGCCTTACCTCGCTCCTTTGATTAAGGCCCATGCAGAACATGGCATTCTAAAGCCTGCAGAAAAATTTAGCAACTGTTTGTTCTGGGTCTGAAAATAGGCACCACTCAAAATTACCAGGTTAGGACAAAACTCTCTTATTTTCTCTTTTATGAGGACACGATTATTAATGGTTTCATTCATGCCAGCATAATTTTCTTAAACCCTTTTTTGCTTGAGAGAATCAATGGATGGTTAGTTACATGCATGGTTTATCAAATAACTCAGTAATTTTGGTTGCCTCTTTAGTCTACAATAAAATACTGACTTTCTGCCCTTTTCATTTGTCTTACTTTCCCACTTGGTAGTCTCCTTTCTTGCGTCGCTTACATGCCCCACATCTTATGTGACAGGAATTCGGCTTTTGAAGCTTACTTATTATCAAAGAAACCTACGTACTTAGCATGTTCTAGCTTGACCTGGATTTGATGTTGTCTAGGTGTTTTATGACAGATCTATTACTCATGCCTTCTCCCATGGAAAGTTCTGGGTATGTGAGTTTCCTGATCTTTTTAGATTCTCTACAGTAACATTGACGTTACCTGTTAAAAATTATTTGTTGATATAGATAAAAATAAGTTGATCTAAGGTTTGTCAGGACAGAGTTAAGGTTTCTGAATTTGGATAAAGTTTGTAGTTTTACATAAAGATTATTTAAGTTTTCCTCTCCTCCCCAAGATATGCCACAGATGCAAAAGTTTGGGATAAGAACTGTCTACAGGTTTCCTATCATTGGAAACAGTAAATCAGGCCGCAATGAAATACCCTTCGTGTGGGATACGACACACAGTCTGCACACCTGTGCAACCCCTTTATTAAAGCAACAATCAAAATACAGGATGGATCACATGATTTTTTTCTACTATAACATCAACTTAAATATTAGTCATTTGTTTCCACCTTTAAATTATTTTTAAAAAGTGAACACTTATAGTTCACAAAAATCACCAGTTTGACATTTCCGCCCTGATAAATTTTTTTTATCTTATTTTCCAATTTTAACAAAGGCCATCCAGAACTCGATATACAGCAAACCAACCATAAATATAAGCATCTTCTTTGATCCAAACTCACGGTAGACAGCTCTATAGTGTCTGAAAGATACATTTCAAGACTTTTGTTACTGGTTAAATGAAAATAATTTTTGCCAAAATATTCTTAGAACTATTTGCTTTCTATTTTTACATTCTCTAAGAGCTTCAGTCTTGATTGTGGTAGTCTAGGTATCAGCCTCCTTAAAAATGACATCTCTAAGGAATCTCAAAGATCATTATCACCCTCATATGACATTTTCTTGTATAACAGACAAACACTCAGTCCTTTGAAAAACATGATAAGCAACTCTGTTTTATCCGACTAACCCCCTCCACCAATGATTTATTTAATCCAAACCTCATTAATCACTGTAGAAACCCTAAAAAAGTCATTAGGAAAATCAACTTTATCTACTGAGTTTTAAATGAATAGATGAATGTAAAAATGACTCATATCTTGAAGATATCAGGTGCTCAAAATATGTGTGAGAATATACAATGAGATTTAGTAGATATTTAAAGAGTACCAACAAATTAGTTTAAAAAGCAAGAATATAAACAGGGATAATAATCTTAAGGGACTGTCAAAAGGATATGTGAAGATAGGTACAGGGTAGTAGTTGAACTGTGCTGAGTATTAAATGAGTATCTGGAAGATAAGTTAAATGCTCCATTTCCTTACCAAATCAAACACTGAGAGGAAACCCCCATTACAGAATCATAGAGGCTGCCATCGAAGAGTTTCAGCACTGATACAACACTGTATTTCAATCTGCGTATAAGAGGTGTCTGATGTGTATTTCTAAAACACTTCTTCCAGTGGTTGGGATTGGTGTTTTTACAGTTAAGCTGATTCATGTTGGCTGCACTACGCTGAGAGTGTGCCTGTACAAAACATGCAAATATTCTTTGTGCCTCACATTTTCTTCGTGTGCTAGAGAAGTGAGCAGATCCTAGATCACCAATAAATAACAATCCAAGCATTAGATTTAAATCATATTATCAGTCCATTAAATAATTTACATAGCCATAGTTCAATTCAGTCTTTCCATCAAGTCGCTTTCTTATCTCACACTTGCCCTTTCAAGGGAAGCTTAAACAACATAGACAATTAAAAAGGAAGCGAACAGTAAAAAAAGAAAAAGAAGGGAAGGGGAGTCCAAAATCCATTGTGAGAGTTGTCAGGCCTCTTAGCCTTAGTTTTGAAAACAGGAAATCATCTGAGACAAATCATTCTGGATGTAATGACATGGCACAATCATGCTTGGGACAGGTGAGAACAATCAGATATTTTTAGAATGATTTCTATATGCTATGTATCACATTTGGTTCCTAGAGATTTTAGTCAAGTATTAGTATTTCTTTTTGCCAAGTATGATATACAAAGAGATGAGAATAGATGTGCCCTAAAGATATGAAAATATAATATATTAAACAAAACCATTATAAATTACATAGATTTTCAGTATAAATTTTTTTTTGTCATTTTGAATAAATACCATCCAAGTTTACAGATCACATAAGTGAATTAAATATGCACACATATCTGAATCATTTTCAGAATTTCAAGAAAAAAATTGCTAGAGATATGACCAGATGACACAGAAGTAGAAATTGTTTGATTTTGAGAATAACTACATAAGACCCAAAGGACATGGTGTGGGATTTAGTCTTTAGCTTTAAAAACTGTCCAAATGAGTCTGACATGCATGTTTGCACACATATACACACAGACAGCCATACTTCTATGAATTTCTGTGAAGCTGAACAGTTTAATTTATCTTTGAAAATCAATTGAAAGTCACAAGGTCTTCTACATTTCAGGTTCTAGCAGGAGGGCCTTTCTCACTTTGTAAAGAAGCTGTTAGGATGGATAGGAAGAGTGTAGGATTTCTGGAAGAAGAAATCTCCACTGTAAGCAAATCTCCTTTTAGCTTGGCTATTATTCTATCAAGAGCTTTTTGATGTTTCAAAGAGGGGGAAAGTTTTGAAAAATCTATATAATCTCTCCAGTCTAAAGAAGCTAAAACCAAAATGGCACTATTCTTTGGTCACACATTTCTGCTCTTGCTTCATAAAAAACCTGCCCATTTTAAACTTTTTACCCCTAATCGACGTCTAGATGGAATAGGTGTCTTCTATCATTTTCATGTGGAAATCTGCACATGGGTTTGAGTAGAATAAAACAATAGAATGGCAAAAATTTCACACAATATCACAAAATGAGCTTAAGTCTCTGTTGTTGCTTTGGGCATGTAGACCCATGGTAAGAATTTGTTGACCTCCATAACAAGTGGAAAATATTTATATTCTAAGAGTCGGAGATAAAATTTTTCTGAAACCCCAATATATAAAATCCCAGCCCAGAGAGCTCAAACAGAAGTCATAGTTTCTCTTGATTGCTCATTACTAATTCCTTTATGTGATGACCACCCAAGTCACTTCTAGATAGATGACAACAGTTCATTCCCGATCAAGAGATGTCTAATCAAACTTTGTCTTTCAGATTGCCTTCCACACAAGTTATCTATGATTAAAGAAGCCCATCAAGGCCATTTCTAAAGCCAAACCCACTACCCTCAGCTATAGAGCCAGATACATTTGCTGTAAAGTTTAGACAGCAAAAGCATCCAATCTCATGTACCCATTTTTGCTCCCAATGTTGCTTGTCTCTTGCAGTGGGGGCCATCATGGGAGATTACAAACTTTCTGTAAAACTATAAATGTCTGGGCTAGAAGGGGTCTTGTGACCCCTCAGGTACAACCCCCGTATTTTGCAGAGGAATAAAGATTAAACCCCTGAATGGGGGAGTTGTCAAAGGTCAACTATCCAGAGAGTGACAGAGTGAGACTGATCATCTGGGTCTGCTCTCTCATTACCAGTGTGGCCCACATAACCTCCAGTGGCGTGACCCCAACACCTTATGTGGCCATGCCCTTATAAGTATTTAAAGTTAGTGTCTCCCTTGCTGCTAAGTGCAAATGAAATAAAACTACTTATTCTCACTACGATTAAATCTAAACTGTGGAAGTGGTCCAAATAATTTTTTTTATGAGGGAGAAGATCCACAACTTGCTAAGATGCTATGATTTTTCTAAACAGATCCTCTTTATTTGAGTAAGCAATGCAGCATAAAAAATGTTAGGTGAATCCAGAGATAGAAGTGTAAATCTTTAAAGTAATTGTGAAAAAGAGCAAGGAGGATAATGGCTCTCAGAGCTCATCTAGTCCTCCCCCTCTGACAGATAAGCCAGGCAGCTGGTACTGGCATAGTCAGGTAAGGTGTTGGCCTTTGGATGGCTAGTTTTGTCTTTTGCCCATAACATCATTCTGCCTTGCATATAACTGCTTTTTTTGTGTGTGAAACTGAAAAATAATTCAGTTAATTTTGGAATGAAATTTGATGGTACAGGTCCCTATATTATCATCCTAGGCTTTCACTCCCCCTTCAAGGACCAACAAGTTAGCCATTGCAGTTTTTAAGTGGAACTAGTTACATGACTTTACAGATCCTTATATTTGCTGTCCCAAATCAAGGGTTTGAGTCACCTGATGGCACATGGTCCCTGCAAGCCCTTCTAAGAAAGCCAATATTCTACAGCCTACAGGGATTTATCAAATGCCTCTGTCTTTGAAAGCAGTAAATTTTCCAGATAGTCAGTCTTTGCTTGGAGGATGATGTTACTTAAACATAAAAACAGCAGTTTTCATGGGTAAGATGGGTATATTTAACCTTTGACAATGTCTCCCGATACGTCAGTTGAGCTTACCAAAAGGCGCTCAGAGTTAGACAGGTAAACATATTTTTATTTGGCTATTAAAGTGCTATTCCTGGGCAAAGTTTTTCTCAGTTTCACAACAGCAGCTTCATTGGAAACAAAAAAATCAATGTATGAAAATGGTCCTGGGAAACGACAAAAATAAGGAGCCTAGTAACTACTTTGGAACACTACAAATGACTTGTAGATTATCAGCCCTGGTACCTGGGACAGATACCAAAGCCTCCGAGGTAAATGCTCTAGGGGAAAATAAGGACAAAGTGGCAAAGAGGACAAAACTAGAAAGAGCAATCAGTATTAATATAACAACAACTACTCCATCATAAAGGAACAGGGAAAGGAATACAAACTGAGAAGAAAGTGCAACAAACCCATGTACGTGCATTTGCTATTGTAGCAGACCTATAATTTTTTAAAGGAAAAGCAATGCAGTATGCATTGGACAGAGCTCGAACTCAGAATTTACGTTACAGTAGTGTACTCTTTGCCAAAAGGGCATCACCAGTTAAGGTTATTTGGCAGAGAATAGGCTCTAAAATTCGCATCACATGGACAGACACCTTCTGCCCAATAGTATCAATCCTGCACCCTGATGTTCCCCATGTCCATTTCTCCTGGGGAAATTCCAGTCACATGAACTGCACGCAGGTGTTTCCCCTTCTAAAATGGCATCACTCCTACCTAAGGGATGAGAGTCTCCTGGTAAGGCTTAGCGGCAAGTGCGTAACTACATCTGGACTACAGGAGCAGCCCCTGATTTTCTTGATATGCATAGCTTTTCGGAGTTGATATTAGACATGGCTTTCATAAATAATGCAGGTGTTCCTGTCCTGTACCGCTGCCAGCTCTGTACTTTCCATGTGAGCCGGCGGCAGGGCTCGATCTGATTCCTCAAAGGGCGTGGGCTCTTCAGACGTGAGCTCCGTGGACGTGACATCCGTAGAAGGCTCTGCAGTTTCTGGGGAATGTTCAGCCGACGGCTCTGTCTCCTCTTCATCTTTGACTTCAAACTGTACCCCGTCTTGGTCATCCACGTGGTCTTTCTTGGCCTGTGGATGAACGGACACCTTGATGGCAATCTGCTGAGGCTGTTCATGCAGTGAGGAGGCGTCTGAGTCAGCAGTGGGGGAGTCGCTTCGCTTCAGAGAACTGGGGATGGTGTAGACCTCACGGTCCCTGTCGGTGGTCTCCTGGCCCTCGGGAGTATGCCGGACAAAATTCTGCCCCTGCTCCTCCAGCCTGACCACTTCCATGATCTCCTCCATGATCGTCCTGCAGTTCATAATGAGAGGAGGCAGAGGCACGCTCCTGGCCAGCTCCTCGATGTAGCGGGCGAACTCCATGGTTTTGAACTGGGTGACTTTGGCAAGCTCCAGAGTTTTGGCCGAGGTGATGATGGGGATCCGTTTGGCGATCTCGAAGGCCTTCTGCAGCTTCTCTGCACCTTCTGTCCGAAAGAACTCATTGATGGCTTTCTCCGTCTTCTTCAGGTGGCTGCTCATCATGCACAGGCGGGTAATGTTGAGAACCATGACCACAGTGAAGGCCACGAGGCAGACCACCATGTAGTAGACGCCCATGTCTCCAGAGGTGAAGATGACGCGCAGGGTCACCGTGTTATTCACGGTGCCATAGACATTAGAAGCCACACACGTATATTTACCTCGGTCTGAAAAGGACACCTTAGTGATGTTGAGGAGGCCACTCTCGTGCATCTGCCATTTTCCTGTCGGAAGGGAAAGGAGAGAATTCAAGAAAGGACATACAGTTCCCATGGAAGTGACTAGGCACACACACATTACTGTAAAACATTGACTACAAATGATAACAGGGGACATTTACTATGTACCAGACAGGGCCATGTATGAACCCATTTCATCTTCACAACAGTTCTGTAGGGTAGGTATGAACATTGCCCCATTTTATAGGGTGAGAAAACTGAGGCACACTCAGATTGAACCACCTTCCCAAGGTCACCAACTGGGAAGCCATAGAGCTCAAAGATGAACTACCTGGAGTTTAAGAGGATGTACTCTTAACCACCAAACCATACTGTGGAATTCCACATTCTAGTGAAAAACAAGAAAAATAAACAATCTGGAAAATACTGTGCTCTTACAGAGAATTCCTTAACGATAGCATCCAATGTTCTAACCTGCCTGACAGCACGACTCTATTGAATATATGTTCACTAGGGAGTTGAATGCTTCTCAGAATATAGTTTAGGATCAACATAAATGCTAGAGTAAATCAATTAAATTATAATTGTTTACATCGGTTTCTCATGTTTGAGATTGAAGTTATCCTTTTATGAGCTCTGTTAATTAAAACATAATTATGTCATTAATTTTGAGAATCTACAATGAATTGTCTACACTACTTAAAGTTACAAGCTAATAATGTGAAGATTCAGAGGCTGGGTATGAATTAATATCAATTTGTTTTAGCCTTGCAGATAAATTATAGACTCATCAAACTGAAAGAAAGCCTCACACAATAGAGAATGCACGTTGAAAATGCAATTCTTCCTTTCCACCTCTGGCCTGGAAGGCAGCTAGTGTTGCTCTAGGAATGAGGTTCTGAATCAGATGAAACTGTTTAGTCTGTCTGTGTACCGGCAGGTCAGACGACCCCTGGACATCATGGTGGTAGGCTTGGTTTCTGGGTCTTGGGTCTGAGCCTTTCTGAAATCCTCCCACTTCCCTACAATGTCCTATTGGAGAAAGGAGGGGCTAGGTCAGGCCTCTTGGGAGTTCTGAGGAGCAGAGCAGGCAGACATCTCTCCATAAAAGCACTCTAAGCCAACGAGAGGAACCCCTCCTGAGAGATGGGGAAATTTAACATGTACGTAGTTTCCTTTTAAGTATCTATTATTGCATTGTATTTTTTATTTGTTGCTTCCCTTCTAGCAATGACTTTTAATTCTAATGAAAAGTCTGATCTTTCCCAAAAGCAACAAGCAAAATGTTCCTTTTTATAAAATTTGTGAGCACCTAAGTGACCAGGGTCTTAAGGGACTAAGGAATGAGGCACCAGAGGACCTTCTTTATTCCAGCGTCTTCTGCTATAGCATAGCGACTACATTCCAAGGTATAAACCTGTAAGGAAGCAGATGGAGAGATGAGGTGCCTTCTGGGGGCCTGCAGTCCCTCCTGCTTTGCTAGCCGTGGGAAATCTGGCAGGACGCCTCTACTAGATGCTGTCACATTACTTTGCTTTCTGAAAGAACATCTGTGAAGAGTGGTCCCTGGCGTCCCTAAGTAACCCTTTTCTAACAATTCAGCCAGTGTATGTTCCCCAAGAGGAGAAAACACTGGTCTGGAAAACCTAGTGAATTTTCAGTCTCTGTGCATGTGCATGAATAAACACACCTAGCACCCAGTCTGTGGAATTTTCTCTCATTCATTTGGGACAGGAGCAAGCCTTATGCACCTTTCATTGCCTGAACCTGAATTTTGATACTCCAGCTGCAGATTTATCCCAATGTATAATAATCAGAGGCAAGGGAAATTATCAATTCATTTCTTCAATTTTGCATGTCTCGTAAGTAGGCTAGAGCAAGCATGGGGGGAAAATCTCTCGTTGATTGGAAGCTTATTATAGACATGGAAGGTATTGGGTTCTGGAGAATTACAGGCTAAACTTGTAGCAGTTTCTCATGTTTCCTTTCCTTCTTTTGTTGGAAAATATAACAGGCAATAGGGCAGAAGAGGGTAAGAGATCAACTTATTTTCCTCCTAATCTCCCCGTGGCCACTCTTTTTATGGAGGAATTATCTGTAAATACAAGGACAGAGGAGTGTGAATCTGGGTGTAGAAGAACAAAGGCAGAAAAGAACACTCAACTAAGAAGGCAGGCGTCTGATGGTAATATAAACAGCTTTCTCCTCACACCTACGTCACTTTAGTGATAATTGTATTCTAACTATTATAGAAAAATGAAATGCAAGAATATGCATTAGTTACAACATACCAATGCTTTCCTAACGATTTAAAAAATGTTTCTGAACTTGAATTTTATAGTTATTTTCAGGCATATTTGTAATGGCCTATTGACAAGTATTTATTTGTCATGGTCCCAAGCTATTCCATTCAGATTACAACTTAGAAATTTCAGAAGTTTCTTGTCACATTGTGAAAAGAGGCATAGGTTGGAATCAAACACAACCTTATTGGTGACACTTGTGGCTCTTTTGGGGGGAAACTGTGAGACTTTCAGCAGATAATTACTTAGGAGCATATTCTAACATCTTTTATATACTTTATCCAATCATTAATTTAGTTTGTTCCTGAAGTCTGAAGCCCAGCTATGTATCTGTGAAGTGGCTGTATTAGCTAACTATAAACTATGACAAAAATGAATCTATATGTTATGATCCTAAAACACTTGGGTTATTACCTATAATCTGAGCTGCAACACCCTAGTTAAGTGACTGAAACCACATCTCTCTCTGCCAGCATTTTCCTGTTTCCAATCTAAGACAAGAACACCAAGACAGCCCTTCAGTTTTCAGTCCCTTACTAGATTCCTCTTGAAACAAACATGATATTTACTTTATGGATTAAGGTAATGATACTTAGGCGTCCTCTCAGGTATGATATGACAAAATGAATATGTAACCTGGATTAAACATTCTATTATCAGATTACAAAGCAAGTCTTTGAAAGCCAACACACACACACACACACACACACACGGACACACGGACTATAATGTCAGAAGAGCTAAGATTCCGACCTCAAAGGTGATATATGCCTACATTTCTTCTTTTTCAAAAGCTGATACATTCATTGCTTCCCAGGAACTAAGACTCTAAATATTTCTTCTCAACCTCAGCTTGACCTTTCATGAGTGATAAAGGTTTCTGCATGTTTTACTACCACATGCAGCCTGAAAACTATGAAGATGGCACAGACTCTGCTTTGGGGGTCCTCCCACATCAGCTTGGGGCCCGGGGTCATGAAGAATTTCACACGGTACCCGCCCACCCGGGATCCTTTTGAGAACATTTCCTGTGCTGCACATGACCATTCACCTCACCTATAACTAACTACCTGGCCCTGAGACTCATTCTGGAAGGTCCTGACTTCAGCTGTCAGAAAGTTTAAGAAATAAAAATACTCGCAGAGACTGTCACAGGAAACCTTCAGGGCTATCTATACACATGAATGGGGTCTACCCAATCCCGTTCCCATGTATTTTAAACTGTAACTGAGTGGGAATGTCTGAGTTATGGGTTGGATTGTCATTAAGCCCTTCAGCAGAAATAAAAACCTAAAATGTCAGCAGCTAATGCCAAGTCAGTTCTACGTGTAATGATTTCAGAGGAAATAAAAGAGGCAGATGTTTAACCATTACTTTCTGAATATAATATGAAAGATTAAGCATAAAAATATTTCCCTGATGCTCTTGACGATAGTAGCTCACTTACATCCTGTGCCTTGCTCGGATTGTAGCTCCATCCTTTGGAATGCCTGCCCTCCTCTCCTCCCCCCGGGCCCCCCCCACAATCCTTTCTATTCCCACTCTGGTCCTGTACCGTGACACACACCTGACGGCTTCAGGCTAAAAACTGACACAGGCAGCAGGAGAAAGGCTGCTGCATCTCTACAGGGGACTAGAGTTCACCCAGGAATCTGTCACAGTCTCCCCCAAGAAACTCCAGGCACAAGAATTACATGTGAAAACCTCCCCCACGTGAATAAAGGAGTTGTGGTGACAGCCTTTCTTTTGCATAAAGAAAAGCGAACAGATGTTGTTTCTTAGCCATACTGCAATGTGTGCTATGCTGCACAACAAAGCTGACATTTTTAGAAGGGCAGTGATCTTTTTTTATCTTGTTCACGCAGGCAGTCAAAAAATATTATTGAATAAATTGTCTATATACAGGTTCCATGCTAGACTGTGCAAATACAAAAATGATCCCTGACTGTAAAAAGGATCAGCCCAAACAGGGACACAGAGTCCAACAAATAACAGGGATCATGTGGCAAACACACCGGCACAGGGCAGTGTGGTGGGCACAGGAACAGGGGGACAGGCTTCTTAGACAGGCATGAGGTGCCCTCAGGGCAGGCTGGGGTGATGCAGGCAGGAAGAGGTCAGGAGTAAAGAGAAAGAACTTTAAAAGCCAGAGGGAGATGGTGTGTATGTGTGTGTGTGGGGGTGGCATATGAGCAAAAGAGGGAACCAGTGTCAGCTGCTGCAGCTGACGAATCATTTTTAAAATCAAGAAGGGTTAGGGTAGAGACAAAACTGGAGGAGAGCAGGGTCAGAATGTTCATGAGCTTAATATATTTACCCTACAAGAGGACAGGAGGCCCCATTTTACAGGCCTTTCCCCCTCACCTGCCTTATTTCATATCTTAAGGTGCCTTGGGACCTTCCCACATGCTCCCTCTCCATTCCCAAGCCCCCTACGTCACACAGTCTTAGCCCAGTTAAGACACCACATTTACATCTCACGTTATTCCTTGAGAAAGCCTTCTCTGACCCATGACTAAATCAGTGGAGAAAACGTGGAAGTCCAGACACAGATGCCGAACACCATGTCTACTGAAATCCTAAATCTTTCCAGCTTTTCTTGAGGATCACTGAGCATTAAAAATTAACATTATACCCAAATGCTAAGCTTTTAGGCTTTCCCTCAAATTGTGTATTAGAAGAGATTTCTTTTTCCTTAGAGATATCTTTCTGTGAATGTGTAAAGAAAGTGATGTATGGTTT